GACGTCGGATCGACATCGATTTGACATCAGCCTTCTCACTGGGTAGTCATTAACACAAAGAAATGTAATTAAACAGCTCGCTGGAGAAACTGAGAAAGCGCAAGGTTTCATTATCATATCCGATTCGGCAAACTTGCCAAGAGCGAAATAGTCGAGTAATTGCGCCTCGCGAGAGGAAACGGCCGAAAGACCGAGTGCAGAAAGTGCAACCGATAGCAGATCCATTGTCTCGTCCAACATCAGCGATCTCCGCGTAGATGAAAAAAACCTCGTCCGATCGTTTCACCCGCGAGTTCTGCAGCCTCCGTTCTTTCTCCTCCGCCGTACCGAGCCGCGAACGTACGCTCGGTTCACTTCCGGTGCACGAGGTGCGACGCGACGCGGCGCGCGGCGCGGTGCGGCCCGGCCGGAAGAAAGAGACGAGCGAGCCGCGAAGAAGAAAGACGCTCCGTGGTAGCAGCCGATGTTCCCGCCGGGCGCCGCTCGCGTCGCTCGGCCAGCGCGCCAATTGGCACGCGCGTCGCGGCGCGCACGCGTCGGCGCGCAGTTGACCTTGACGGGAGCGTGAATGGCTGCGTCAACGGCGGGCGCCCGCAAACGCTTCTGAAAGCGGCATCGCCGCGCCGGAGGGGAGCCGGACGAAGCGGCTGGGGGGGACGGGGCGGGGAGGGGCACGCAGCGCGCGTTCCGTGTCGCCCATTGTTGTCCTCGTCGCGCGTAATGGCCACCGCGGGCATTCGTTAGCGCGTCGCACGGTACGCCATATCGCATCCCGGCCTAGCCCGCGTCACGGATAACGCCGCGAGTTGCGTCCAGCCGCGAAACAACGTGTCCGACGGTCTTTATGCCGTTGCCGCCGCCGCCGCCGATCGAGGCGCGGGTACAAGTCCGAGCGAGCGAACGGGCGAGGGAGCGGGATAGAGCGCGGGTGAGAGGGAGCGACAAAGAGGAAACGACGTACGCGACGAGGAAGGAGCGGCGGCGGCCGCGCGCTTCGTACTCGCAGTCGCCGCAACCGCCACCGCGCCGCTCTACGCAGCCGACCATGATTTGCGCGGGCCGACGTTGACAAGCGTGTGACTCCGCGAGTGGAACGTTCGCGCGCGCTCTCTCGAGCCGCGTGCCACGGCGTTACGGGCGCGTGGTTGGGCGAGCCGAGCCGGGAGCGGACCCAAGCGAAGCGAAGCCAAGCCGAGCCGAGAGCGGGCCGAGGCGCGTGCCGCAGTACGAAGCCGGGGACGAATAGGTGGACACACGGTGCGGAACGCGGCGCGAGTTACCTACGCCGATCGTCGTGATCTTGGATGAAGCGCACCAGCGTCGGGAGCCACCACCGCCGCCGCCGCCGCCGCCGCGAGGAAGCGTCCGTCGGGATCGAACGCCATTGATTTCTCGCGCGGCTCCGACACTGTGGACGCGGGAGCGCGCAATCCCCGGCCACGCTCTCTCCCGTTGACGCTGGACGCGAGTGGCGTCGCGCGCGGACCCTCGACGAGCGCGCGAGGCCGTCTTCGTTTGGCGCCGCCGCCGCCACCGCCACCGCCGCCGACGTCGCCGTCGCCGCCGCCACTGCCGCCGCCGTCATGGCAACTGGAGGATCGTCGGTTACCGCACGGCAGCCGGACTGTTAACCCCGTGGCTCGTCGGACTATTGCACGTGAGTATGTTTATTACGCGCCCCCGGCCGCCCGTCGTCTCGGCCTCTCCGTCTTGGCGCGCGCGCGCGCGAAAACGGCCGGCCGAGACCTGGCGTCGCGCTTTCTTTTCTCTCCCCTCGCTCTGCGTCCGTTGCGCCCGAATCCGAAACGCGGGTCCCTCGTTGTCGGGGCTTTTCTCTCTCTCTCTCTCTATCTCCGCCGGTTGCTTCTCGCATACCTCGCACGCTCTACCTCGAGCCGAGACAGTTTATAACGACCGCCTATTGATTGTGCAGGGTCAGAGGCAATACATCAATGGCCCTAGAATCAAATGGCAACAACGTGGTGTGGTTGAACACAACCCGTCCTGATCAGATACAGCAGGTATGCGTCGCGCGTGACGGCAACTTAAGACGAGGGAGCGTGTGTGTTTGCGAACAATGACCGAGTGCTGATCGATCTGTTTTTCCAAGTATTCAGTATGTCACTCGTGTTTAAGACACTGGGATACCTGTCGTTATTGTAATTTCACTCGATTGGCGAGACCCCAGCCAGCCGGAGCGTCTGACGAGCCTTTCTGATTAACAGAGTCAACCGATCGAGCAGCCTTTGAAGTGTTCCATGTTTACTCAAACGGAACAGACTAACAGTTTCACCCAGACGGAACAGAGCAATTCGAGTTACGGGGATCAGAGACAGGTTTGTTATTGCCTTATTGTTGAACGAAACCAAGAGTGCCTCCCATTTGATCGTGCAAAATGATCTTTTTCCGCAGCAGCAAACAGCAATGTTTGACCCGCAGCAAATACAGCAGCAGCAGGCTGCTGCGCAGAGCCAGCAGTCGCAGCAGCAGCAGCAGACCCAGCAGATGTATGTCACGTCGGACAAGAAGGAGGACAAGTCCCAGCAGCAGCAGCAGCAGCAGGCGACCACCACCGAGTTCCCCCCCTCCTTCTACTACAACGTCAACATGCTGCAGAAGGTTCAGACAAACGCGGTGAGCACAATCAGTGCAATCACCGATGACAAGGGTTGTTACCGTTTCGATGTTCAACCTGTCGGTTATAATACATTGCTAAACCAGATGAGCATTGCCGCCGCCAATGCGACCTTCAAGTGCGACATTTGCGGCCTGGTCTTCGGCCACTTGAGCCTGCTGCAGCATCACAAGCGGATTCACACCTCGACGCCCAGCAATCTGCAGCAACAGCCGCAGCAGATTGTGGTGCAAACGCCGACGACAGTGACCGTCGCCACCACGCCGGAGAGACCGTACACTTGTGACGTTTGTGGAGCGTGTTTTGCATTACCGGGAGAATTAAAAAGTCATAAGACAAACATGCATCAGAAACCTAAGGTGCAAATTTGTGAGGATTGTGGCAGTGAGGACCCGTGCGAACATCATCCGACTAAAGTTAAAAAGAGTACGTCCACAAATTATTTCGCCCGTAGTCAATGTCTCTCGCGGTGACGTCGTTCGTTCCAATAGTGGTACAAAAGAATTTATATTTTGAATTGAGTTATCTCGCAGCAGTAGCTAAAACAACTATAGTCGCTGCTCTCTCTCGCAACTACGGTTCGTTATTAAGTTGAGATTGATATACGATTACTTGCGGATTTTGCTTTAGCACACATTGTCCCGCCATAGTATAACTAGTAGGTCCACTCTCTGTCGAACCCTTTGATCTTTGTGGTCTCGATCACGTGGCATTCCGCCGTGTCTTTGGTGCAAATGCAGCAGTAAGTGTGTGTACTCGTCAAACTGCACTATCCCACGTACAACTTTTCTCTCGTTGGCTGCACCAGCAAAATATCGGATACGCAGAAGGGATCGACGCAAAACGAAACAAATGACCGCGTGGACCTGCTAGTTATACTGTGGCCCCACTGTGGTATCGCGCACAGTTGGATGTACGAAACTCGTTGAACAAAATAGAGATATGCATTTGTTTTGCGCAGCTATCAAACCTGGCCATCATCCTGTGAAACGAAGGGGTGTCACCAGCGTCACCAAGTGTCACAAGTGCAACGGCACGGGCATTATTTTTATTGGTAAGCATCAATTGTTAGTCCCCGGTCGTCCGATTGGATATCACTTAATACAGTCGATAAGCCGAAGAAAGATGTTGCTGATAAAGCGTTTTGACAAAGTCCCAAGTGTACGTTTGAACTCTTTATGCTGATGTAAACGCCGCTACCAAGGGACTGCATACTCGCGATACTCTTATCCCTATCAGCAACATTTTATTCTGATTATTTGGTCAACCCTTTCTCCTCATACCTTTCATTGCTATCATGATCGTACATCGGGTGATATATGGTAGGTAAACACGACGAAAAACTAGATTCCGGAATCAGTTCCCTCGCAAAGTGTGGCGGCTGCAAGGCTACAGGCCGCATCCTCATAGGAAGTAAGTCGGATATAATTATCGTCAACACAGAGTATGGGATCTGTTTTGCGATTAGTATGTCTGAGTAATATCGTGTCTGCCTTGGATGGTGACAGTTCAAATTTACTCTCCGCGATAACTTTCGCGCAATTTCATTCATGCTTGAGTCAACAGCGCACTGACATTTTTACAATTTATATATCAAATATCGAATTTTATTATAGAGCGATTGAAATTGTAACTTTTCACCAATTTACGTAGTTTTCGCGAACTCGCCGAAACTCGATCTTTAAAAGGTCTATTTAAATCAATTGACAAACCTTTTCCAACGTATTTGTTTTCAAAAATACTCGACGTGATTTTGAGTAATTTCAATCGGTGCATCAAACGTCAAGGAATACAAATTGATATTTTTAAACACCAGATTTGATATTGTTTTTATTTAACTTTTATTTTTGCTTGCATGTATTTTTGTAGATGGAATATATATATTTCTACTATCTTGTTCCTTTTTACTTTGTCCATTTTATTATCATTTAATATTCTTGCTATCTCAATTTTTACAAAGTGATTGTGATCATCTTTGTTTTGCTGTTATTTTCTTTTCCTTTTTGGTAGAACTGTCGACATCTAAATTTAAGAAACACTGGCACAGAATAAAAATCTCCCCTAAGGGACAGTTTTATAAACTTAAATCGCTAAATTTTTAATGTTTTCTGTACGTAAGACAAACTCTTGTTGAATTTCCGTTCAGCTGTTTACGATTCTTTCACTTTATTTCGCGGCATAGTTGATTGGAAATGAATTTCACCATTTTCCACAAAATAAATTGCGTAGTAAAGACAAAAAACCGCAAAGTTTCACGTTGCTTGTGGCGTTCAGATTTTCTTAGTGCACTAACTTTTGTAACGACCTGCATGATCAGATTGTTTCATACGATAATTCATTACATTTAATCATCGTTCATTTTGTGATTTCATATTCCATATCCCTTTCTTGGGTACAAGAGCAAAAAAAGAGTAAACATTAGTGTCACGAGGCGAATTTACATTTCGCGTAGACTCGTAGAATCCTCGCGAGACAACTTCGAGCTTATCACTTTTGTAGAACTGGCCCTTCGAGGAAAACTAAAGCCTTGTTTATGCTTTCGATTTCAGGTGGCAAGCAAAACAGTCAAAATCAGACGGAAAAGCCATTTCACTGTAACGTTTGCGATGGTACATTTTCTCGATATTCTTCGCTCTGGTCTCATAAAAGACTTCATTCGGGAGACAAACCATTCAAATGCGAAGTCTGCGGCTTAGCCTTTGCAAAGGGTGAGTAAACGATTAAGTGGTGCCCAGGTAACCATTTGCTCGCAGATTGTTAACAATCGGGGGAAACAATTTCTTGCCAAATCCAGGGCCCACTGTGTCCTCAAGTGCGCCCCAATTGCAACTGAAAGTTGTAATCACATTCTCATGTCAAATTGAATGCAACATAAGAGTAGATCTGTCAGTAGTACAACGAATTGTATCAAGTGCCCAGTAAATCTGTCTGCAGAAACTACGGCAGATTGGCAACAGAAATTGAGCAGGATTTGCAGTTTCTATTTCTACCATTTTGGTTCCTTTCATTACAAAAAATATGTAAAAACTGCACACCCGTAGACGAGAGTGCAAAAAAGCTCGCTTCAGCGCCAGAAAGACACTCGAAGAATCTCATGTGGATGCGTTAATTTATAACACCGTGTGCGGTTTTCTTCTTGCGAAAAAGTGTCATGCCGCGCGCGTTCATTACAAAATATAAATCGCCAGCGAACAACAAAGTTGCTACCAATCTGTCCGACAAATTACGTCAGCAGAAGTCTGCTCGATTTTTGCTATCAATCTGCTGTCAACTTGGACAATCTTCTTCCTGGTCTTTCAACAAATCTACTCGCTATTCTACCAACAGATATTGGTAAATTTCTACTACAATTTTGCTCGCAATGTTTTCAATAACAGAACCCGTTTTTTGTCTGCAACTTTTTGGAAAACCGAATTTGCCCGCAGATGTTGCCTCTGCAGAAATGGTTATTGGGGTAACGATTATATAAATCACGCGAGATAACGGCACATATTGACCGATAGAAGATATTTTTTAACGCGAAATCTCATTTCTTTCTCGTTAGCTGCCTATCTAAAAAATCACGGAAGGGTTCACACCGGCGAGAAACCGTTCAAGTGCAACGTTTGCGGCATGCAGTTCTCGCAGAGCCCCCACTTGAAGAATCACGAGCGAATTCATTCCGGCGAGCGACCCTATCAGTGCGAGGTCTGCGAAAAGACGTTCGCCAGACACTCGACGCTCTGGAATCACAGGAGAATTCACACCGGCGAGAAGCCGTACAGGTGTAACATCTGCGGCTCCGCCTTCAATCAAGCCACGCATCTCAAGAATCACGCGAAGGTCCACACCGGCGAGAAGCCACACAGGTAATGTCATTCTTCCCCGAAAAGTCCGAGGCACATTTACGTTTCCGCGTTAACGTGAGATCTTTGCGCTTTTCAGGTGCGACATATGTGAGATTGGCTTTTCCGATCGTTTCGCGCTGAAGCGTCACCGTGCGATCCACGAGAAGTATGGGCAGACGGCGCGGAACCAGAACGCGAACAACCCGGCGAACGCACAACAAGCCAACGCGAGTAGTCAGCAGCAGTCGCAGCAGCAGCAGCAACAGCAGCCGCAGCAGGCGCAGCAGGGCCAGGTCGTGGTCGTGAACGCGTCCACTCCCGTCACCGTCAGCCAAGCGCAAGGCCAAGTTATGCTTGAAGAGGTCTACAAGTGTCAGGTGGCCTTCCCAGAGCCTAAATGATTCAGCTAGAGAATACCTTTCAGGAGCTGGTAAAGGGGTTAACTTTTTTAACCTTTTTCTTTTTATATTAATCTCGAGAACGGCAAAATCCATGGATAACAGATGTCTGGATTTTCTGACTACTCTGAAAGAGTCAAGTGAATTCTGCATGAGTGACTGAACGACGCGTCTCCATTTTTTTTCTTTTCTTTTACGTGTGTGTGTACGGCCACTATGGATTCTGCGGAAGAATATTCGGTGACTGTCGATAGATTGGACTTAGATATGGATAAAGATTTCAAGGGAGGAAAACAAGAGAAAAGTATGGACGGAAGGACTCTGCGTGAAGTTACGCGAGTGAGAAATTTCGTGAGATGTATCCCTGGGAGTTTCATTCGTAATATACAATTGGACGATTCCCAACCGCCAGGATCAACGAAGTCTTTTTGTGAAGTAATAGAGAAACACGTCTACCTTTATATTTTGCCATTCGGAAAAGGTGGAAGAACAATTGAATCGTGTCGCGGCATATTTCGTATACATTAGTTTTCTAAAGTAAACAAAACGGAAAATGTAATTATAATCGTATCATTCTTTCTTACATATGTGTAATAATCGTTGATTTGTCCACGAGAGAACAAAATTGCTAGACGTCTTGCCAGTATCTCATGATATCTCATGAATGGCATTGTGCAATAGTTCCGACAAATTTTGCGATTAGCCCGACGATAAAGTGTACTTTCGAATGATTGTAACAACGGAGGATTGCGACGGCGTGTGTTTCGGTAATGAAGAGCGCAAGTATAAGGTATCGAGTATTTCTCTCTCTCTCTTACACACACAAACACACACACACACACACACACACTCTCTCTCTCTCTCTCTCACTCTCTCTCTCACTCTTTTAATCTAAAATAGTTGAGAAATGTCCAAACCTCGGCCCTTCCGGTTTTTCTTCGATATCGACATGATGATAAATTGTATGTCAACGTTTAAATTTAACTATTTAATTTTGGATAAATTATTGCATCAATTACTTATTTGACAAATACAAAATTTGTGCGAAAACGAACGTGTAATCGACGAGCGGAAGCTTCTGTACGACGCCCGGGAGATTCTGTACTTGCGGATAGCGTGGAACGGAACGACATCGCGGTCTGTGCGAGCCCTCTTCCGTCCAGTCATTCGAGATCAGTAAAGCGTCGCGTCGCCGAGATGACGACAATGATCATGATGAAAAGCGGCGAAGGAGTAGTGCGGCATACCTATATAACTCGCTGGGGCTGCAATAATAGTAGCGAATATCGACGGGCAAACTAAATACACCGTTTTATAATTTTAAGAAGCCGCGAACTATATGAGTATATTATAACTGATGAATAGTTGCTAGTTTGTAACAAGTAGCTGAGCTAGATTATATATACATATAAATATAAAAAATATATATATACATTAATTTTTATATCCCCACTTGTTAAGGCGATCCCGCACCGTCGCTACTTTTTAAGTATCAATGATTATCCAGACAAATAGATTGTACATTGGTAGCTCCATTCATCCGTGAACACTTGTGTGCTACGCACTATCTCACTTTCCAAGTTATTATTTGGATACCCTCCCGAGAATGCTTGTGCAACTGTTACGCAATTTTTCAAGCGCGAATACACGCGTCTTTACTGTTATTTAATTATTTTTTGCATCTTTATTTCTTCGTCGTTGAGTCATCAAACAACGTATATTCTATTTCTCTTTTTATACGATATAATTTTAAAAGATCTAATTATGCGAGGGAGACAGGCATAAGCTCGAGGGTGTCCCAAATAATTCTTTTTACACGAAATCATGTGACGTACGTGTCCGCGTACACATTACGAGACGGTCAGTCTACGTGATTTGCTAATAAATTCGACTTTCGCACGGAATCCGGAATTGGGGATATTTCTGTTTTACTAATTAACTTGTAAAATAAAACTACGCAATTACATAATTTTACTTTTACACGATAGCAATACCTGTTACAGTATTTTCGACTAGAGACCAGCAACTTCACGCTGGACTTTACCTATCCTCGTTTTCGGTTCTTCAGGATTAGAATAGAGCTGTCTGAGCCGTGATTCACGAGCAATTAATTTTATAGCTCGTTTATCGCTACTTCGTGTCGCAACATTGCCGCGCTTATAGCTTTTACGAATTGTAGGAGAGACGGCAAATAGTCTTGCTACATAATGGCTTTAGATAAGCTCCAACAAACACGGTCAAAGACAGAGAGACCGGTGGTGATACACGCGCTCGAAATCGAACTGTCGGGAGTCACAGATTAGATACACCTGAGTTAAAATACAAATCATAGTTGCAGCATCGCAGGTTTTATGATCACGAAAAGATAATGTTTTCTTCTCCCCTTCTGTATTGCGAAAAAGAAAATTTCCGTTTCAAGTCGACGCGCAAACCCCACCTACTTCGATTACAATCGCGAGGATGTAAAACGGAATAAAGATAATCTTCGATCCTAACACTTGGTACATTCTGCACGGGAGCGGCGTTTCTTCTTTTTCTCTTAGCGTTCGGGGAGAAACCATCCTTAATCTAAAATGTGCTCTTTGTATCTAGAATTCTATTTTATGTGAGCCAATCGAGACGCTTAAAAGTTAGCCGACAACGCACGATTAATCAACTTGTACAAAGTTTTCAAACAAGTATTTATTGGCTGCAAAGTAAAATGTTTCTAGACACATCGAAGCGAGAACGTTACACTTCAGTATTCTGTATATTTACTAGAGTAGGCGCAGATTATTCGATCGTTTCACTGCAGTTTCCACAGTATTGTTACAAATGCCGTGCTTCTTTCCGCGGTGATTCACATCGAGCAGACGAACAACAAACACAAAGTCAAAACTATCTTCAATATGTTCGAGATAACTGAATGCCAGTACAATCAGTTCGATAGAACGTGAACATTTCGCGTACGTCCTCCAGAGCTTTGACAAAAATTTGCACTCGTTAAGATTTGAACAACTCGTTGCTTGTTCGTATGCTCGTTATACACACGCTCCTTCTCGCGGACAATTTACAACTTTGAAAGACAACGCGCGTAGGGTGACAATAAAGCGACTCTCGTACATTTCGTGTCCTTGTAAGATTAGAAGAAAATGCACCGTATTGTACGATACACGCTCAGCCATTAAATTAGGCGCGGAAATAATTTCTGTTTCTCCGAAATATCTTGAATCTCTGCGATTCGTCCAATCCGATCGGCGAAAGGAATTATTTTAGTCTGCTGTTCACGGTTAAAGGTAGATTGAACGATATCATTTTATGACAAGTGACACGTCGTGAACGTTTCATGTATTTTATATCATTTTATCTCGTCGACCTTGCGCTATTTTCTCCCTCAAGTACGAGACTCACTCCTCATGTTTTATATAATAGTTAGGTAATTACGTAAATATGAAGTTTGCCGCACAGTTTTGCGTTGTGGAAACTTTTACAATGACGGAACGTTTGTGCGCGGAAAGAAACAGTTGTATCTACCTTCACCGGCAAACCGATTGTAAGATTACGGAGGCCATTGGAAAGATTTCAAAATCGAATAGGAGGGCTCTAATCGGCGTCGCGGAACAACATGATGTAAAATAAAAAATGCACAAGACTAATGTAAAAGTCACAGCGCGATTGACAGCGACGCGCAGTGCGAGCGAGATGCTCTCGACTATGCGTCTTCAATTGACATTCTCGCGGAACCTATTTTTTAGGGGGGGGAAAAGTCTCTATTTTGATTACATCACTAACTCTATCAAGCTGTGATCAGATGGTCAAATTTACGGTAGTAACATGGCTTAAATAAGCGTCCTCATCAAAACTTAAGACAAGTACTCTTAGAACTGTTCACGAGCGAACACTTTGCGCTGACGTGCACGCAGACGAGACTCTCTTTCGACGATACACTTTTGTACACTTATACCTGCGTCGAGAAACCCGTAATTAAGGAAACGAAAAGAATTGCGGAAGTCGCGGGAGAACCGGAGCGAGGTGTACGAAATGTAATTACGAATTACTACGCGCGACTGTATAATTTTAAGGCGACCTGTTGAGAATTGCTGCAGCAGATACGGCGCCGTGTCCCGGAATGCGTTATCTCGTTGACTGCGTAAAATACTGTACATCTATTTGCCCGATAGCGTTTTAGTTCGGACTGATCGGCACGGCGAAGTGACTCCGCGACGATCCGATCGCGCGAGGGCAGAAGCGACTTCGAGCGGTGTGTCTTCCCGCAGCAATTCCGTTGCTCCGAGATAATGTTACGTCGGCGAGGAGCCCAGAGCTTCCCAGTTTGAATCAAAATCGTCTGGAAGCGTCTTCCTTAATCTCAGTGTACTCTAATTTTGCCGGGACTTCGCGATTTAGTTGTACATACGTCCGTGAGGAACGAAGACCCGCACCCACGAGCGAGCGGGTCCCCGGAGAGCATATTTTTTCACCGCTATTTTTCGTCACTTGTGCGTCCGTATCGAGTGTAATTCGTCGAGCGTGTCGAACGAGCGGTTCGCCGAGGAACGACTGTATCAAGTTTTTTTTTTACACCGTCAAGGGTCGAGGTTTCGGAAATGGTGAATTCACAAGAGCCGAACTTGTTTCTTCGACAAATGTAACTTGCGTTCCCGGAAGAATGTCACTGCACGGAACCCCCGATGATCCCCCTCGGACGCGCCACATCCGACCCTTCCAGCGTGGAACTCTTAACGGCCTGAGAACGTCGACCGTTTTGCGCTTACTGTAATTTTGTATTTACGCAGAGTGGAGAGACGTTAACGCGCGCCCGCGTCGAATTTGTATATTTCCATTTTGCCGAAGCGTACTATTTTTTTAATTGTATAACGTCCCCCTACTGTATACCCGACTTGATGTAACTGATCGGTCATTTCTGACGCATTCATCATGTACGAATGAAGGAGGTCACACCACGTGCGGATTGAGTTGTCACGCCTCGCTGGATTAATTTACGATATACCTATATATCTATCTATATAACGGTAGTAGCGATTTTTTTTATAATAAAACACGTTCCTAATAAATTATTTGTCCTTCATATGTCGTAACGAATAAGCGTAACGATTGTAAAGGCGATATTCTGATACCGAGTACTGTGGATATCGTTACCTGCCGATCGACGAAATTGTAAATTAGAATTAAAACGGCCTCTCTCGTAACGTAAGGAAGACTTGAAAGGTAGCCTTCGGAAGAGGAGTTTGCAATTTTTTAACGCTAATCGACGCGTTCATCGCGCCCACACCGATGATCACGTGCGCGCGGGCCGGACTTGATCCATTCCGCCCCGCGGACGGACATTTTGATAATTGTAAAAAGGAAAGGCGGGGAGGAAGAGAACTCTGTCGCGATATCCGCACATCCTTGCGAAGTGAAGTGGGAAGGAAACGTGCTGTTAGATCGCCACGACCTGCGTCGGTTCTTTCTTCTACCCGTTAGTTTTACGGGAACGGATGCCAACGTCTTCTTTTTAGCCCCCCCCCCCCTCCCGCTGCCTTTACTCGCAACCGACCACTTTGAATTCGACTCCTTTATGCTGCAGGACGATGATGCGCGCAACGGGATGTGTCTATAATGCGTTACTTTGATGCGGACTAAACTTCATCCAATTAAAGTCATTTAGACACCAACATCCTGTCTTGGCTCTTATATCCTTTATTACTTCGTATTCGTGATTTCACGTCAGGGCCTTATGAATTTTATTTGTTCATCCTTTTGTCCCTTGCGTTTGACCGACCTTCGACTACTCGGAGAGAAGTTTCCTTTTAAATTTATCCTGAAAATCGTATGATCGTGAGACGACATGGCATTTTGAAGAACTTTATGAGGGCTTTTTGAAAGTTTACCAAACATTTTACCAGTAAAATGTATTCTAAGTATAATCACTTGTGAAATGTATGGTAAAATTCGAAATGCCGTGTTGTACCACGATTATACAATTTTCGGGGCAAATTTTGAAAGATCCTCCCCGTGTACGCGCGGTCTCTCAACTCGCGAGACGAGAGCGATTACTTTCTTCGCCATCGGTTGTCTCGTTTGTTGCGCCCACGGGTGCAACCGGAGCTACGCGGACTCCCGTTCATCCGGAATATAGTTGAAAAAAAATTGATCAAAGGATAATCCAGCACGTTCATTAATTGCAGTTGTTTGGTGGCCATAGTCCAAAGAATATTTTAGGAAATAGAATGATAACTCAGACACATTGTAATTTGACCAGAATTTTGCCAATTCTTGGAGAAGACTCGATCTGGACCCGGTACCAACTAACAATTATATCAATATTATAATTTCTTACTCAGCAATGTAACTGTTATGTGTAACATGTATTATATTACATCTGTCCAGTCAGCAAAATGTTAGCAGATTGGTAGCAGATACACCAGAAACTCACACCAAAACCATATAGCCATCTGTGTCCGTATTTGGCTTTTGTTTTGGCAACAGAATCTGTAAAACGTACGCTGTCAACAGAGATTGCCGGCAGAAACCGAGCAGGTCCAGTTATGTGAGCAGATTTTATTGTATTTCTGTTCACACGCTGGGAACACGTCAAATATATCAGTTCCTGTATGCAATCTAGTCTTTCTGCCTTCAACATTTGTAGTGGGCATTTGACGAAACCTGTTCCGACAGATTTGGTTATCTGGGTATATTGTTGAGTTAGAAATTATAATCGTGACGCTATATCCCAGATAGCCAGTGTGCTCAAGCATGGAAGTAAAATGGCAGCAACTGATGCTAGCTCTTCGGAATATCAATTCAATGTTTGAGTGATTTAAGTACAGGTAGTATAATGTTAACATATCATCGTAGTTAAGTGCACAGCTAAAGAGAGAACACATCGAATGGGCGTACTGTTAACTAAGAGTTAGCACACGTTGTTTTCAGTTTTCTAACAGATATAAACATTATATCTGGCCACTTAATGCTAGCATAATATTTGTATTGTGCAAATGTTTCATTTCCGATATCAAACGCTAGCAAACAACAGTACAGTAGATGACAATAGATGCATAGCAAGATGCTAACATTTTTGTTAATAATATGGAAGCAACTTGTGCCCACACTGGCTATCTGGGATGTAACTGCAGTGGTTTGTGCTTATTGGGAATTAGCCATCTGAAGAATTCGGGCGGCTTACGCATCTTTTTCATTTCAAACCTCTCGCTCCTCCGAGTATCGAGTCCGAAAATGGGCCGGGTAAAAAATGATTCCGGATAACGAAGAGTCTGCCGCGAGCTACAGGTGTTAAACGGCCGTGATCGATAAGAGCTCGTTCGTGTACGTGCTATTTTATTTACGAGGGGAAAGAAGGGGGGAAGAAGAAGCCGTAAAAGAAGGACGTCACTTTTTAGATTAGTCTGCTGTCAATATACCTAGAACGATAATTTTGAATGTAACGTGTATCATACTTGACTATCGCTTAGATAACGTGCAAACCGTACCGAATAAAGGAAACTAGCGCACGATTATATCAGACCTTAGGTGATAATAATAAATGATGTCCGATACGGACATTTTCATTTTTCAAGGCTCTGGGTGACCTTTATTTTCGTCGTGTGGATGCGTGCGTGCGTGCATGCCTGCGTGCGGGTGCGTGCCAAGAGAGAGATACATATGTGTTATTTTATACATTGATTATGTGGAGAGATAAAACTTTGTAGAATTCCGAAAGGCCACAATAACCATTTGCAAAGTTATCACTTCGTTACCAGACCTGCCTTTTTTTTCCATGTATCGTCGACGAAATTTTGAATTGTCGGCTCTTTTGCGCGATTAATTTTCTCATAATTGCACTGGACGCCTCTAGAGCTATTCAGAAATATTTCCCCGTGATTAATGTCTCTTTACCGGGAATGTTGAGAAAAATCATTATTTTTGCATTTCTTGTCGTTTTTAACGTCAACTTTTGCAGTACAATCTCCGCCAAAAAGCGATGGAACTCTTTCAAAATTTGTCTTGACTCCTCTTCTAAATTCTGATACCGACGCACCATTCAATTTGCTTTGTACATACGTTTCATCGATTCTTACACTTTTTTTGCAGATTCGACGATATACTCTATTAAGTCTTCAATAAAGTGCCAATAACAAGCTCGAAACTAAATATAAGAATTGTCATTTATTCTATAGCTGGAAATCAGAATTATAATAAAAGCAAGAGTCGCTTACATCTTGCCGATCTTTAAATTACGAGCCTCGGTTCTTCCGACTGACTGAAACGTTCGATTTAGGCAAGAGCGATTTCAACCGAACTCCAATTAGTTTAACAATTAATTCGATCAATTTATTTACAGTAAGAATTTTAACTGTAATTATCGTTATTCCTGATTTTAATCTTTTATATTTGTCAAACAACAGAAAATTAATAATTTGACCCACGTTAGCAAAATAGTTAATCACCGATAGTTTCTACGGTTAATTTTGTCAATTAGTAATCGAAGTAATTCTCTAGTAAGTAATTCTGTCAATTCAGTCAATTCAGTTAATCGAAGTGGAAATCACTTGGAGAGTAATTTACAATTTAGTTACAAATTATAATTCTATAGCTGGAAATCAGAATTATTATTTATAGAAATTTTTCCAACTAAACTTATCGCTGATTAAGAATCAAGATTTGGTGGAAGTCGCTCTAAAATATACAACTAGAGTTCGAAATTAGAATTTTAACTATAATTATCGTTATTCCTGATTTAATCTTTTATTTGTCAAACAACAGAAAATTAATAATTTTATCCAAGTTAACAAAATAGTTAATCGCTGATAGTTTCTGCGGCTAATTTTGCCGTAAATAATTCTGTCAATTCAGTTAATCGAAGTGGAAATCATTTCGAGAGTAATTTATAATTTAGTTAAAAATTAGAATTCTATAGCTGGAAATCAGAATTATAATATATATAAATTTTCCCAATTAAATTTATAGCTGATTAAAAATCAAGATTTGGTGGAAGTCACTCTGAAATAGGTATACAACTAGAGATAGTTCGAAATTATAATTGTCTGGTTTAAACTCGGTCGAGTGAGTGAATTTCTATCGGAATTCGGCAAAAGTCTTTCTAACTTCGACCAAACTTCGACTAGCCAGCGATTAATATCTGCACTATTTTGTTGAGGTAGAAATGAATTTTTCACTTTAAATGAAACAAAGACTAGATTAAGAACGACGAATTATAACAATTAGAAATTTTATTTTCAGCATTTTGTTGGCGAGTTAATCAGAACAATTGAGTTAAAGGATGTTCAGTATCTATTTTTGCAGTATTGGGAATTCAATAAAAATTTTACAGATTGTTCACACATATGTTCGGAGACTTATAAAAAATCCAATCATTTCGCCAAAGCACATTATATATAAGAATTTTAATTTATAATCAATTTACCCGCGAGGCTATGATAAAAAAACGTATAACTGAAACAGATGGAAAAATTAGAAATACGTTTTTCTAAACTCCAACTGTGAGTAAATAATAAGGTTCTAGACAATTTTTATCGCTCAACTATACGAGAAGAGCCTATATATTCGTCAAAGTCGAATTTCAGTTACTTTTTGGTACGATTGTACAAATCCTTAACAACAGAAAAATGACAAGACGACATCGCTCTAGAGATAACTTATCTAGCTAGACAACTTAAACAAAGAATTATGTATATAATTATAGAAAACTTCACCGCGAGCAATTCTGCTAGTTGATAATTCACCAACTTAACGAACTTGACAAGTTCCGTCCAAATTATCCCAAATCTCGGGGTTTCTATCCACTGCGTCGTGATGGGCTCCGCGCGCGTGTACCAAGCGCGTGAATTCGAACTGTCCGGCCGCGATTGGTCTGTTCTGCGTGCTGTCTCGCGCACGCGCACGCGTACGCCGTCAACTCGACTGTCATGGCGTCATCGCGATCGTCGGTGTAATCTCGTGCCCGCTCGTGCCTTCGACGAGGTTGTGCGCGAGGTTGTGTAAGGCGTCTCCCTTGGAACCGTCAACGTACCGCGATGCCGTTCGCCCGATCGTCGCCGAGGAACACGCGCCTGTGAATCGGAGCGAGCGGAGCAAAGGTAACGCGCGGACAAAAGCGGAATAGTCTCCGCCGAGTGACGACCGAGAGAGCGTGTTACTCCCTGTCGCGCGACACCGCCGACCCCGAGGGTCGGCCGCGCGGCGTCCCGGCCGAGCTGACAGCGTCGACCGCGGTCGCGAGTCGACGCCGAGCTCTGACCTCTCCGTCGGCGAGACGCGAGCTGCGTCGCCCCGCGATTCGTTCGCTCACGATCGAGACGGAACGTAGTAACAAATAGGGGTGTATCTTAGAGAAAGTAGGCACTAACAATAAGACGCGTCACTTCTTCATTTTTGGCGAGAAAAATAACGGGTTAGAATTAGACCAGGATTCGAACCTGGGACCTTCGCTTGCCGAGCGAATGCTCTGCCAACTGAGCTATCTAGGACCACGTGCCGTAATTATGCGAAAGTGAGCACTGACCGGCGCTCGCCGCTCGCGACGGCGACAACGCGATCGCGTGCTTCTCTGCGCCCTGGAACCTTGACAGCCTCGCCGGCCTCGCCTATCCGAGCGTCACGTCGGTCGTCGGTGCAACTCCGATGTGCGCGTCAACGACGCAGAGACGCGGGGAATTCGTGGCGCGTGCTTGCGAAGGAAAACATTTGTTTACTGGGTAACTGCGAGGAAAAACACTGACTTTTCTAAAGAAAGAGGCAGGGGGAGGTAAAGTGTCATATATTCTACCCCGTACAGCACAAAACTTGCAGTTACATTGCAATAACATTGTTATAATACAATATTGCAACATTGCTCTAACGTAGGTGCAATGTAACTGCAAGGTTCGTGCTGTACGAGGCGGCTTTCATTTCGTATTGAAATCTTTTTAATCCACAAACTGATTCATCTTTACAAACACGCACAATTAACTCGCTCTAAAAGTTAAATATACTACTTGGTGGATAATTTCCAAATTTGGAAAATCCAGAGTCGGTGATCGCGGACGTCTTTAATGAGAACTTAGAATCAAACAGTTGATAAGTTGACTGGAAGCAGTTTTCTGTTGAATTAACCATTCGGCAAAAAAAAGCGGCTTAATAAGTGCTCAGCGATTCTTTGTACGATTAGTTCTTGTCTTTAGTTTCTCATTGGATCCAAGTGTAGTAAGTTGCCGTAATATAAAATCTCGCACGCGTGTACTAGCTACGCTTACACTTGGCGCGAGACACTACCGTGTCTCGTGATCACCGAGCGCTGATTAAGTTGCTTTTTTCCGCTGAACGCAGCCAAAATGTTTCCTAACTGGAGATTAAAAGGGCAATAAAAAAAAACAAACTTTGGGTAAAAGAATTCGATAAAAAACCGTATTCCTTGCTCATTACAAATGAGTTTTTTTGCCTCATTAATTACGCAGAATGATAGCAACAGTTTAGTTTCGAATTCATTAATTTGAAAAATCAGTACCAAAATTACAATTAGATATCACGTTTCGTGATAATCTATTCTCACTTTTAATCTATGAGATAACCAAAATAAGTAGCCTGACTAAAACTAAGCAACAAAAATTAAGAAATATTTCATTCAATTTATCGTCCAAAATAATTAAAAACAAGTTTTTTTGCTTACTTTTTGTACTTCATTTTTTTTAAAAAACTTGCTTTTTAATCTCTACTTTTGATGACACACTTCACCTATATAGCTCCCTATTTATGTGATATTATTATTATCTACACCTAATTCAATTCGTGAACGGATAGACGATCTTTTTATGGTCGTCTAATGGATGTGCCTGGAGCACGTTGGGTCTCGGCAATTCCCGGCGATTGTACAAGCGGCACCATAGCCGCATCGTTGAGAAATACAGTATTTCCATAAATGACAAAAAACTGAAGCCCATGAAGAGACCTAGCAAGCCTCCCGTGCTCGCTGTAAATTGTAGTATACTTGTGAGTTTTCTTTTTTCTTTTTAACGACAGTAAGGCCGACAAGGATCAAATACTTACACAGAAATTCAATGAATCCAAAGAGCTCGCTTTTCACGTACTTCGTGAATTGGGAGTCCACGAAGAACAGATGAACCACCGCCATGTTTTCCCTACGTAAACAATTACATGGCGTCGTATGTAAATGCAAGGAAAAAATATAGTAAACTTCGCGATATAGTGAAGTTTATGACGGAGGTGCCTGTGAGTAGGCAACAGCCGTGTACGCAGATAATTTTCTCGTAAAATTCACCCTGAATATCATGTAATTGTGGGACATGATATTTTGAATACCGTGAGAGCTTTTTGAAATTTTACTACACATTCTATTAGTAAAATGTATGGTAAAATAAAAAACTTGTAGTTTTTCAAAATACCATGTTGTCCCACGATTACATAATTTTCAGAGTGAATTTTACGAGAAAATTCTTTCCATGTAGTGGCAGCCGGAGGTGATATGAATAACGTACAGGGTGTCCAAACAGATTCTAATCCAACCACAAATATCTTTCAACTTGCATTAATTTTTGTCAGGAAAAACAGGAGCGTATTGCAGCTTGCATTGATTAGTATGGAATTTAAAGTTTTTACTAGGGAAAATTGTAAAGGTATAAAGTCCACTCGAGTGTTTTTCCGGGACATCTTGTACTCTCGAACCTGAATATCAACCTGTTGCACTTCTTACACGCACCTCGGCAAGGTCTGCCGCGATAAGCGTTTAAATTCAATTTTTAATTAGTTTTAATTACGTGAAGTAATTCATGTCTTTCTTCATAAATCGCTTATTAGTTTGGAAGGTCGGTAACAATTTGTTCTGCGAGAGCTCGATCCTGTAATTGATCTCGGAGCAGCCTGGCCAGCAATTGCAGCTTGGTCTGTAGGAGATTCGTGAATGAATGAAGCGATTAACTGTTTGCAACCTTGCTAGAAAACGTAACTCTCGCAAAATAAACTCACACTTCCGTGATGTTGAGGGGGCTCGTCAGATCCTCGTCGTAGAGCTTAACTTCCATGGCCCGTCTAGCGTGTTTAGCACACTGCTCGTCCCTCTTGCTACAAATTGGCGTTTTCGATGATTCTGCAAATAATAGACGGTTCTAGTGAATAGACAAGAATAGTTTACCGAAATACGAAAGATCTAGTTTAATTCCTCGCCGCTCTACACTGTTGCTAATGAGAATGGCGTTAATTTTGGTCTTACAATCAGTACGCGGAAAGTCTTTTATTCGTTCTCAAATTGCATCGAGAGAATCGAGATATTTTTTCTGCGATATTTTAAATTTCTCAAAAATTTTCTTCTTTAATGGTTTCTAACGTTTCTGTTTTCTAACTAGAAAGTCCTTATTCAAGGAATATGATCTATACATATATGACGATGTCTAATGAGTTATTAAAATTAATTTGTTATTACTTTGTCAGACTGGCGTGAAATCAAGGGTTAACAATAATTCTAAGTTCTGTTTCGATTTTCAGTCACAATATGTGACATTCGTGAAACGTTAGACTGCTTATTGCGATGAATATTATCACATGCCTCGGTAGTGTCGAATTGATGACGTCCGCCTAACGAGAGAGAGATCGAGGTTCAAGCCCTGGCTGAGGTAATATTTTTCGTAATAAATTTAAAATAAGAATTATTTAGACATTTATCATCATGTCACAGCTCTCTGGTCCTTATTCCTTTGACTTTATGTTTATCACATGAGAGCCTTATGAACTTTATTAATTTGTTAACAATAATTACTTGGCATGTAGTTTTGCACGCAGTCGCAGAGCTGCTGCGTGAAATTCGCCTCGCACTCCAGAATGCAATTCCTCTGCGTGTATGTCCGATAATAACGCAGTTTCCTCTCGGTTGTGAAGAAGCACTTCCGCTTTCTCTGCGGTATGGAGATTATCGCCGGATTGGCGGACGATATCCGCGGCCTGACGATCACTCGAGTCTCCTCACCGGGCGTGATCGAGAACGAGAAATCAGCGATTTTCGGTGTCTCCACGGGAGTGTGGAGCAACATCTGCAGTATTATGATAGTGACGTTTAGCATTGTCATGGAATCAACGTTACATTACTGTATAAATTACAGATTGTGGGCGTTTTCCAGCAAGGACACAATGTGACACAGTGTAGCACTGAATTAACATTACATCCTTGTTGTTTGCCAACGTTAAACAAGGATGAAACGATTCACTGTGTTACACTGTGTCCTTGCTGGAAAACGTCCTCTGTAAGATCGGTTGATGTCCAAAAATTCGCAACTGTTATTTTAACAAGAGAAAGAGACTTGTACGTTAAGGTAGTTATCGCGCTTACAACATCCAAGAATCAAGACTCTAGGATATGAAAGATATTACTATTTTTCCTATGATCAAAACTTTTGGCTACGATTGCAATTTGAACCCCTATAACACACAGAAACGTCAAATGTATGGATACGTCTGTACAACATACACTAGGGCTGTTACTTTTGATAACTTCGAAGATTCGAAGCTTCGAAGTTGACTTCAAACTTTCGAAATCTTCGAAGCTCCGAAAAATTTATTCATGCGAGTGGCGAATTTACTTAAAGAATACTAAAAATATTGTAAATAAAAAGCACTTATTTATTATATATATGTTGAAAAATAGGTAATTACTTCTAAATTATAATTTTGACGTACTATAACATGTATATTATGTGTTTGTTTAAGATCGCGTAATTAAATTTTCAAAAATGGTCAAGTAAATCAATTAAGTATCGTATCAACACTAAAAATTCGCGTAAATTTATTGCGAATTATATCGCTATTTAATAATAATTTAATTTATTTAAAATTTATCTGAATATTATACTTGGATTTCTAAATTATCGAGTTATTGTCCGTGTGCCTTCTCAATTCTTATCCACGTCACGCTTCTATCACGTACATTCACTTGAACAATATTTAATATAGAAACGTTTTTAATCAATAGTGAAGCAGTTCTCATTGAATTATGTGTATCTATAGAATTTTTTATCGACTACACAATTTAATATTTAAAAAAAGGTGCAAATTGGAAAACACTTTAAATTTAAATATTTCATCTAAAATTTTTGCCAATATTATAAAATATTGCATTACACAGTGTAGTATACAGAATTTATTAATATAATGAATGTAGAATATGGCAAATAGGTTATTTTGAACTTGCACGAGATTCATAAATCATATGATTACAATTCTCAAGCAAAGCATGCTTAAACAAATATGTAATATACATGCTATAATACTTCAAAATTATAATTCAGACGTAATTACCTATTTTTCAACTTGTATAAATTAATACTTTTGATTTGTAATATTTTTAATGTTCTTTGAATAAATTGGTCACTCGCACGAATAAATTTTTCGAAGCTTCGAATTACTTTAAAGCTTTGAAAGTTCGAATATCGAAGCCTTCGAAGGAAATCACTAGTCCTAGCATACACTATGACTATATTCCGATATTCGCCGCCAGTACTGAAAGTTCTATAGTTCACGTCACATTATACATTTTACATTATACATTATACATTTTCAGTACTGGCAGTGAATATCGAAACGTAGCCTAGGAGACACAATAGAGACGCTGCAATTTTATTTTACAATTGTATTTACAGTTTTACGCTTTTTAAACGGATGCACGACGGACCACCACTAACAATAAGATCCAGTTTCACCAATGTTGTTTAACTTTAAGCTTAGCTTAATTCATTCTTTGTCCCTTTCCAACTGTTTAGAAAGAGACAAACATGAATTAAACTAATTGTAAGATTAAAGTTAAGCGACCTAAAGGCTGAATCAGACCAGCAATTGCTGACTCGGATTGGATTGGGGTTGGCGATTGATGATTGTCTTCTAACCAATGAGAGTCGGTTAAGTCGTTGGCTGCTATACTCTCATTGGCTAAAGGACAATCGTCAATCGCCAATCCCAATCCAATCTGAGTCGGCAATTGCTAGTCTGATTTGGTCTTAAGGCTAATATTACATTTGTCGTACGACAAATTTGTTAAGCGTGTTGATTGGCTGCTGTATAGAAAATACAGATTCTGAACGCAGCCCTAGTAGATGCGCGGCTCATGAACGCACGTCCGTTTAAAAAGTGATGCTGATTAGCTAATTTTTAATTAATAATAACTACTTTATAAAGCATAATTCGAAAAAAAACGGTTCCGAACTTTTCGAGTCAGTTTTTCATGAGGAATATCGCTGTATAAATGGTGGGCGCAAATTAGTTTACACCCTGTATACATAAACCAAGCGTTCCGTCTACAGAGTGAAGCTGGAAATGT